ACTGTGTAGGATTTTGTGGCATCTAGTTGTGTAGATGCAACTCCCTCACTACACCCTCCCCTTCCAAGTGTGAATGCTGAAACTACCGTGACTCGATATAGAAAAACGTGAAAAGGTTAGTTTGTCCATTCTGGAAGAAACATGGTGGTTCAAGATGACAGCTTTCATGGAAGGCGATCCTCTGTGGATAAAAACTGCTCGTTCTAAGGTAACAAAAATATAACAATTCTTATTTTCAGGTGATTATTCACTAACAAAACATACATAAGAATATTATATTCCATTTGTATCAATAGATTCTCCTGAATGTTACACACTGCACCTTTAAATAATCAATTAAGTTACACTACTGTGCCTGTGTCTCTCATAATGGGGATACACATCACCCTATTTCACCAACCCGCAAGCCATCCAATATTAATAAGACTGTTAATGTTTATGACCTGGCCTGCCCAGTCTACGGATTATCACTCTCACAACAGTCATATAACTGCGATACGCACATCAAGTGGGCTTAGGTACTCCGCCAACCCATTTCCAGAGATAGATGGACAGATAAGTGAGTGCTTTGACATAAGACCTCCTCAAGTTTCCTACAATACGGACCTATTTCAGCCAAGTTAAGACTGTGCGCGCACACACACAGACACACACACACAGATCTATATCTTTTACCTCAGTGCCTCCTGAGTCTGACTGCAGTTAGCATGGCATCCTGTGCTTTCAGACTTCAGTGAAATCCATTCATTACCTCACTGTGGGATTTAAATCTCCAAGCAGGGTTAGGTTTTGAAGCAGAAGCCTAGAAAAGATAAAAGCAAGTAAAAGTTACAACAAAGTTAGAGGTATGTTTGCATAATGTTCTTTAGTTTTACACCTCCTGTAATCCCACATTCTGAGTTGGTTCAACAGGGAAACAGCCCTGGAGTTAAAGCTATACCTATACCCATATACCTTTGACTCCTGAAGTGGGATACGAACTCAGTTAAATTGCCCCTAAATGAAGCTGTAAGTTGAGGAACAAGTAAATCTATTCTTGTTGAAATATTAATGTGCCCTGATTTGACTTTTTCAGTTTGATTAGTAGACACTAGCAATTAGGTTTAGAATTGGAAATTGATTTGTGTAATAAAGAGCTCTGATCTTCAGCTAGCTGTATGTGTAAGTACTCAATGTACAAAAAAAAAAATCTCTTTACTCTAGCTAAATTGATGACATTGAGTTTAAAGATATACATGGGACAGTTCAGTGACTAAACAACAATGCAAACTAACAAGCAGGAAGCACTATTTAAATTCAGAGGAGCAGGAATCCTGTTGCATTTTGGGCATTTGGAAATACCTTAATCAATACCTTATCAAACCATATACTTAAAAAAACCTTTTATGGATGTCATGAAAACAATAATATAATAATCATTTATGTATAGTAGGTCCAGGTCTAAAAATGAAAAGCCTCTAACAAGAATCATCAACCAACTTACAATGTAGCTTTGAGGAACCAGTCACCAAAATACGCAAACTACCCAGCATTACCATTCCTTCTCTTAGGTTTTAGTTCAGTCAAAACAGGAAGTTATCCCTTTGTTTTCAAATGTTGCTATGGTGAGGTCACTTCCTGTCTGTCCATCAGGGCTGCCAGCATCCTTCTCTAGCTTGTTTTTACTCCCATAAGTAGGGCATGTAGAGGTAGAAGGAGAGGGCGGGAGTAAATCAAACAGTGAGAAGAGAAACACAGACGAGAAAGTGGCAAAGAAAGCAAGAGACTGAAGCAGTAAATGGTGGAGGCAGTAAGAAAAAAGAGGCCAACAGAAATAGGAAAGAGAGCATTGAGACAAATTGAGAAAGGGATCAAAACAGATTAAGTATTGCAAGTAAGGGAGAACAGGAACAGCTCTGATTTAGACTGAGAGTGATTTAATGAGAAACACAGATTCTGCTGTAGGAAGGAAGTGGAACCAAAGGGATTTGACCTGCATCCCTTCAAAATGTCCCATTCTATAATAAGTCCCTATCTTGCATCTGCATAGCTGCCACAAAATTGTGATGATAACATGGTCTTCACATAAAAAAAAATAGTGTCCATCCAGTTTGACTGCGTTTGAGTCTGCCTCGTCTCGTCCTGCGCTCTGTCGACAGCACCCGTTGTTGATGGGTTGGTCCCATCCGGTCGTTTGACAGGGTGGATCGTCTAAAAGGTCCACTGCTCTTTAATTCAAACCCGCTTTCTTTTCTGATGACTGCAGGCCATTTCTGTCTACCCACAGTGAAACACCACTGTGGGCGAGGCTGAGCTCCTGGTCAAAAGGAGACAGAGAGCGCTGGAGAGCCCGCCACTGCAAGTGCAACGAAACCACTGCGAACAAAAAGCAAGTAATGAATGTAATCTTCGCAAAACATGTACAGGCAAGGAAAGTAAACACTGAAGTAACTCAGGTTGGCCACACTGGAGCAGGGCACTTTTATTGTTATTAATATATTATCTATAAAAACATGAAGGTACAGCTTGGTTGCAGGCATTTTTTTCCTTAATGCAATGCAGAGCTATTCACTTGTATTATTACGGAAAATACAAGTATTGTATTGGGACTCAATATTAAATAGGGATTGGAGGAAAACAAATTGAGTGGGACATTTTTACTGCGGTATTGAATTGGTATCTATTTCAAATTTCTGGTATTGTGATATCCCTATTTTGTTGTACAAACAGCAACTGCTGTATTGTTGCACTCACTTGTCTCTATTCCTTCCTTCGAAATGTTTTTCAGCTCAGTTTAATTTTCTCTGGCCTCTATCCCAATTACTTTTCTTCTTGTTTCCCCCCCACCAGATTTGTTGCCATTTGGAGCTGTTTGGGGATTCAAGACAAACAAAAGGATGAAATGAATATAGCTTTACAGATAATTAAATAATATGTTTATTTAGTCTACAGTTTTGGCAGCTTTACAGGGAATAGGCAGTTAACTGCTGCCTAATTACTTTCTCTGTATAATTCTAGCTTTCATATTATGAGTGTTCTCTAAATGTTGTCCCAAAAAAACACCATCTGTCCATTCCACCTAATGGGTTAGGATTGTCCTAAGCTCTCCTGTATTCCTAGAGATAATATGCACTTTCACAGCTCAGGCATGTTAATGACATCATTTTATTCCCATCTGTGGGCATTTCTGGGGCAGAAAGTGAAGATGACTTTAGTGAAGTTCCAAATAAACAAGGTAAAGTATTGTATTGTTAGAAAAATGGCCATTAATAATGCAGTGTATTTTATTTTTTATGTATCTGATTTAATTTAGGGCCTTATACTGATATTGAGGGTATTTACTATCCCCATAAAAACACTGAATGTTTTTGAGCCTGCCTTATTTTTCTTCTTTGACCCAACATCCATGTATCAAATACAAGCAGCCGACAGGTTGAACCAGACAAAAGAATATAAAATCCAAGGCATTAGGTAAGTGCCCCTTTCTTCGCCAAAAAACACCAGCATTGGTCTTTTGTTCAGATAATTAAAACAAACTACCGTATGTTTATATTTTCCTCATAAATAACTGTACTCGTGCAAATAATGACTGTTCTGTATCATGACTTTGTTATAGTGGTGCAAAGCCTCTTAAGGCTCTTATATACAGACGAGTTGCATGCCAGATTGTGTGATGTATTCCTGGTGAATTGTAGCACTATGATGTTAACAAGACTGGGAGTCTACAGCAATACTAGCGGCTCAGTGTGGCTGCATACTGGTCCTTTGAGCTAAGTGCTAATGTCGTCATGCTAACATGCTCACAATGATTTTAATGTGTTAGCATGCTAATGTTTGCTAATTGTAACTAAACTAAACATACAGAGGCCAGTGCCAATGTCATTAGTTTAGAAAGTATTACGTCCAAAGTATTAGACTAACTAAAAATTTGACCCGATGTGGCTGCTAAATGAAACTTAACCACATGGGGGCAGAAACATTTCTGTAACAAATTACCTAATTTGTCATTTAGGTATGAGGAATGTGGTAAACTTTATTCTTCCTCTCCTTAGAGTCTTTATTTTATGATTTAATGATACTTTTGTTACCTTTACTGTAGTCATGCTTGGTGTTTTATAACTTTTACTGTGCAATGAATGCTTGACAACTAGAAGGGAAGGACGATCATTTTACCCAAAATGTACAAAATGACGAGAAAACAAACCATGCTAAATTCCAACAAACATTTATTTGTGAATTCTATGACAAACAGGAGGCAGTTATAATATCTCGTTACAGGCTACATTGGTCGGAAAAAACTAAAATCCCCAACCCTTTAAAAATCCACTTTGATCAAATGTTCTCATTTTACTTATTTAATGTTTGCTGCCTTTTTTTTGTTTTTCATCTGCTTCAAAATGCACCTATGTACAGAAAAAATGCTCAAGTGTGGTCTATAAGAGGAGAGAGCTACATACTTCCACAGCGACCTGGTTCAGATCAGCTGTTGACATTCAGCTTTTCTCAAAGAAACAAACGGACAGAGAGTACAAACCTTTCCTTTCTTTCCTAGTTGCAATTACACAGGGACAAATGTACTTACTGCGTACTCATTTTATTTGTCTTTCATTGCATTCTCCTTTTATTCAAGAATCAAGCGTTATTAAAAAAGACGAGTAGGATATATAAAGCAAATATACAAGCAGGCAGTCTCTCTAGATAATAGTTAAGCTAACATTATGAACAGCTTAGAATTCATGTACATATTGCCAGGATGTAATAATCATATGAATGGTATGGAAACATTTAAAAAGGCTGGAAAGATTCATGTAGATTTTCTGACAGGTTTAAGGACACACACAGGGAACAATGAGACTCGTGGTTTATGACATGCAACCTGTAAGAACTCATCAGTCATTGGCTGGTGATGCTGTGTGACCTGTAAAACTGTCTGTCATTGGCTGCAACGCCTAGTACTTATAACCTGAGGGGGAGGAGCAAATGTAACACCTGACAGGCAGGTGGAAAGGCTGGAGAGGCAGACACAGAACTGACTGATGACATCAGAGTTGGAGAGAGATTTGAGTCTTATGCTGACTGCGCCATTTCAGATTTTGACAGTAAATGCAAGAAAATGTGTCGCAGTAAAATACCAGTAGGAGATGCATTTCCAGCAATGATGTCACATATGGTTTTTTGTTAAATCCATATTTAATAATTACTATTACTTATGTTTTAAAGTGATACAAACCAATTATTTTATGTGTTCAAATCAGTTAAAAACATAAAACATCTACCCAAAACGTAACCTTGGTCCAAATTTCCAACCATTTGCAGGTCTGGTCACACAAAAGTGAAGCAAAACTCATTTCTAAGGCATACTGTACTCTTGAAACCTTGACACTGAGGTCCCTTATTGGCTTTTAACACGTATTGTCCGTCAGAATGTATTTAGTAGAGCAACGGCTGAGGATGAATGTAAACACAAATAAGTCTACACCTACCGCAAGACGACAAATTAAGACATTTAATCTTAACTCCAGATGAAATTCATCTGGATCATCATGGTTTAGAGCCAAATGTTTGCAGAAAAATAAAGTTATAACTAAACTGAGACATCTTTGTAGAGGAAAGGCACAAAGTGACCTTCTCATTGACAGCAAGACTAAATGACAATAGGACTAAGGCCCTGGTACACAGGCATCAAATATGTTCAGAAGATGCACAATTACACTAAAGATACATTATGTTTGGTGTTAGTTAATGACGCGTCTCAGAGTATATGGTGTAACAGTAAGAGGTAGAATATAGAATTTGTACGGAAATTCTGAATGATTAAAGTTACTTTTTGTTTTGTACATGCCAAAATCTCTTTTCAAAATTACCTTTCAACCGTCTATTATTTTGAAAGTAGATTCGTTTCAGGTTTGTGCTTTTATTTTACAATTTTTAAAACAAAAATACCATTGATTGTTTGGACCTGTTATTGGTATCTGTTGCAGTTTTACATATTGGCATGTTTGGATTTCAAATGTGATGCAAAGAGTTTAGGAATGAATCCAAGATGAATGGCTTATCATGACAGATTCTGTAGTTTTGCTGTGTATCCAAAAAGCAGAAATGATGCCAAACCTCATATTAGGGCATGATAAATGTTCCTTTGTTATTTTAGACTATTCATCCTGGTGTGTGGTGGGAGAGACTGTGGTATGAGTCATTATTGGACTGTGGTTGCTGCAGACAGGACTTCTGCCAACCTGCAGTTAGCTCTTCCTGCTGTTCCACTGTGTACTGTCTACCAACCATACTGTCAGTGCTACCGACGCAGGCTCTTTTTACAGTATACAGAGATGTTTAGACATAATGGAGACACCAAGCTTAGGGGGCACAGTGAATGGAAAAAAACTAATTTAGTTGTTTTTTATTTCTCTCTTACCATGACAATACTAATGAGTCTGAACTATTTTGAGTGTAGACAATAACATGTTGGCTGCGGTAATTTGTTCACTAACATAAGAAGGTACCATTAGTGGCTGGTATTTCGTGGGAAATGGGAAGTGTATCATTATCAACCTTGATTCTTTTAACCTCTTGGTTGGAATAAACATGGGCGACTTTAATATGTTGGTATGCTGAAATGCAAACTAGACTGAATGTGGAGCAGCCGTGGTCATTGATGTATAACTGTACTGAGGTTTGATAAAATGTGCCAGACAACTTACTCCACTAAAAACCTTAATTTTAAAAAGACAACATTAGCATACCTGTGTGCAACAAATGCAAACAGCTAACCATGCTAGTATATAACTTTTATTTTAGTAGGAAAAAACAAGTCCTGACGTACTATTGTAGCTGCTTTGCTAAGTGAACGTGTTAGCTTGTTAGCGAGCTAACACTTTGTTGTCAAAACTCAAGAAACTAAAGACTGTGTCTTGGTATGCTTGGAAATCGGGCTTTCTTATCTGCACCAGTACAGGACCAACAGCGCCAGTATAATCTGTTTTAGGCGTTTCCCCTTTTTCTAGTTTTACATTATACATACTGTAATCTGTATTAGCAGGTTAGTTTCTTCAGTGACAGTAGTTTCTAATTGTGTGATGTAACTAAAAAGCTTTATAAGATGGAAATATAATGTAATGTGTACTCAACCGTATTAGCTGTGCTTTTAGGGCAAGAGTTTATATGAGTTTTTTTAAAAATCTTTTCAATCAGACTGGCTTGGCTTAAACTACCTGTTGTATAATTGTGGTCAAAAACATAAGCCGGCCTATTCCTGTGGCAATCAGACCAGTAGCTTTTGAAGCGGTGGTTCCAGACGGTTGGTTTTCTACCAGCAGTGAGGGCTGGAGTGGAGACAGACAGCAGCATTTAGACTGTGGGTTTTCCTCACTGTGTTATTGAAATACATGCACTGTTACTGTAATGCCCTATTTTAAACTGCTGAGTCATTAAATGGTGTGCAAAGATGGAGAAATGCTCAACTGCTGCTCATACAGAGACAGTGGAAGAGACACATTTAAATAGAGAGATGGGTAGATGCCTTGTTGAAGGAGGCGAGCCCATAGCAGACTTTACATTAAGTAGCACCATGATAACTAAATAGAATAGAAACAACAGGGTAATATATCAGCAAAAACATCCATATAAAATAAACGAAACAAAAATAATTTACTTTCCAGAAATACAATAACCCTTGGTATAAAAAAAAGTTAATATATACTACATCCTACTATACCTGTAAACCATTTTGTCCTTCCTCCCCTGTGGTACAGTACTTTACTGTAGCTTTACTACAGCCTGATCGCAATTACATGCATAAAAACAATCTTACCCATTTAAAAAAAAGGCCTGCTGGGTTTGTTTGTGTGTTTTTATATGGAGTCCAGTTTTGGTGTGAGCTGACTAATGGGAAATCTGACAGGCACTTTTAATATCTGTTGATTGATTAGAAAAAGAACAAGATGGCAAACAAAGGGAGAGGTGGAGTAAATGGAATAAATACCCTTTCCAAATATGATTGCTTTTAGTTTGCCGTGTTTTTTTTGTTTACAATTCCCCAGTAAGACTCTTGACAGCATTTGTGTCAGTAGTAAATATTTTGTGTTCAGACATCCTAAAAACATTTTATGTCGTCAGAACTGCCACGCAGGTAAAAAAAAAAAAACGATACCCATTTTTAATTTAGGAAAACAACTTTGACCAGTTTGTAGATATGAAATTAAGTAAATTAAACATTTCATGAATGTATTTCTTAAAAAGTAAAAACTCTCAGTGCTTTAACTACTCTGACTGCACAGCTCTTAACTTGTTGCTTCCCAAGATTAACATTATAATGCTACATTTCCAAAATGCGTATAAGGTTCGTACAGTAGCAACGCCGTTGGCATGGTACCACAACATGAGGACAGTTGTGTGTGAGAGAAGAGCGGAGAGAAAGGAGGAAGTAAAAGGTGAGTATTTAAAAACTATCCCCTCCACACACGTACAGTACACATCCGGGAAAGACGCTAATAAAAGGAATGCATTGACTGAGTTCTCCTTGGATTTAGAGTTAGTGAGCGTTTCTGGTTGATGGTAGATGAGCACACACATCATATTTGATGCCATGAAGCGAAGAGGATAGGGATGCACCGATAAAGCTGATGGGCATCAGGTCAATACCATTATTGTTATTAAAGCATTTCTTAATTATGTAAATCCCAAAAGTCACAGGTGACATGGAAATCCAAACCACCCTAATTTTCTGTACTTTTTCAACAGAATGAAGCTAAATGGAATACATTTCATGTGTTAGTTTTGGCTTCACGATCCCAAACGAGTGCTTGAGGTGCTCTGAAGAACTGGTAAAACAAGTGAAAAAATTGTATCAGTGCATCTCTATCCAATACCAAACAAAATCTGAGGATGGGATTTTAGGTTAACCTTGCAAGCAATCAGAAATGGTCCCCAATCAGTGTAACCAACTGAAAAAGCTTCAGGACAGTGTGCTGTGGGACTGTGCACCACATGTCTTCATGAGATCATCAACGATCATCTGAGGTTTACAGGCGAATCAGTGAAGAAATATCTCCGAAATATGAAAGCAACAGGCACTTTCTGCCTGCTGTAACAGGTTCAAACCAAAACTGTAATTTTCCAATCAGACTCTGGAGAGTGACAACTTTTGAAGCAGGTTTTCTTACATCTACAAGGTTTAAGTCATGGCTACAATGCCACAAAACGTCCTCATATTTGTGGCTGAAGTCTGGGAACACAGTTGCATCTAAATAAGCCTGGAGAGCTTTTTGTTGTTTAGGTTTGCAACTAAACAACAATGCAAGGAGGTCCACTCAGATCAGTTTTATGGTCTCATTTATAGAGCTCACAAGTCATTCAACAGTGGAGTCCAAGTCTGGTCATGCTGGGGTATGTTGTCCAGTAGTCCTTATGTTCTTCCTTTAGTGATCTATTTCAATAGGAAGAACACTGAAAACTAGTCTGCGATCGAAGCAGATGTGTCATCAAGATGAGTTTTTTATAACCATGTTGGAGACACTTGCTCAGGCGTTACTGTGCTCATCCATCAAAAAGGCTTTCCCAGCACATGTGTATCAGAAAAATCTGAGCTTTCCAACAGATTAATCCTCTGAGATGGTCTCAGAGTTGCCAACACAATAGAATATCTTTCCAGCTGTGACATGTGTCTCCTCTCCAGCTTTACACTGTAGCTCCCAAAGTAACATATTTCAATGCATATTCAGACAGGGAATACGTTCTTTCTTTCTCCTTGCTTATCTGTAAATCCAACATGGCTGCCGGTCCAACAGCATGGTGTCATCAAGGTGGATTTTCCACTTCAAAACTGACCATATGTAGTACCTGTTGTTCTGTAAAGTAGGGTGGGGGAGGGTTTGGTAGGTCCAGTCCTGACATCGTAGTTTTACTTGTTAATTTCTCTTCAGTTTGTAGTTGTTTTTAGTTAAGTGTGTAAGATCATGTGTGTGTTTATGTTTATGCCCTGCTGGTAGTTGTGATGGTTAGATCTGTTGCTTGGTTGTAGTTTCAGTCCTCCCTGTCCTTGGCATTAGAATGATCCAGTCCAAGACAAGTGTAATATTGCCTGGGTTGTGTGTGTGTGTTTTTATGAATGTGTGCATGTGGCAGTGGGTTTGTGGGGCAGTCTGTGCAGTGTGCTAGCGGTGTGTGTGTGTGTGTGTGTGTGTGTGTTATGTTTGGCAGTGCGCCTGTGTGGCAGGTTGTAGGTGTGTATGTACATTTGGTGATGTGAGAGGTGTGAGAAAGTGTGTTTTTATGGCAGTGGTGTACAGTGTTTGTGAGGAATCAGTGTTGCTTTGTGTGTGTGTGTGTGTGTGTGTTGCATGTGGCAGTAGAAGTCTTATCACTCGTTGCAGGTGTCCCCTTTCTCCTCGGTTGCCAGAGACTCTTGTGGGCGGTGCTTGCACTGGCCGAGCGAATGGCGAGTTGCTGCCCTTGATGGTCGCGCAAGGCAGGAAGACTGGGCAGCACAGTCACAGGGTGCATCCTGGGAAATGGAAAGATGTCTTATTTACTAAAACATGCAGGTGTGAATATCTTTTCATATTATACGTGACTATTTTTGATATTTTTGAATGACTTTTAAAAATAAGATTCAAAGACCATACTAGTGCAAGATTTAGCTTCTTAACTACAAATTATGTTTATTAAATTTTTCATCTAAATCAGCTAAAACAAGCAAAACCACAAACATTTAATAAGTTTAAAATAAAAACGCATTTGCAATGGCCGCACCTCGGTCCCAGATCCTGCAGCTCCTGCGTTGCTCGTCGTTTCTTTCCCTCCTCCCATGATACTGACCATCTCCTCCCCAGCTGTCTGTCTCATAAACCTCTTATTGACAATTCTGGTCACATTGTCGTTGCCTCCACCCAACCCAACCAGCGCTCCAACCCCTTCTGGTTTGGGCTCATCCATGCCACCCAAGACACCCAGACCTTGTGCTCTCTCCACAGGCAGAGCGACTCCTGCCTGGGCACGGCTTGTGCAGACATTCTTGAAGAACTCCTGAACCAGGCCTCCGTACCGCTGAGAGCCAGGGTCAGATCCACAGATTGCCGTACAGGAAGGTTTCCCTGCAGCATGAGGCTGCCGTGCTGGACTGGCACCCTGGCTGGCTCCTAATGGCAAACAGGGTTCAAAGATGGGTATTATAATTATTTCCATGAATCGTGGTTGACAGATAATTTATTTGAATCCTGGAGGGACTTGCACTGTGAAGTCACTGACATTAACAGTAATGGAGACTTTAAGACAATTAGCATTTGTGAATTAGTCTGCCAATGCCATGCTAAGAAAAATAGGGGAAATATCAGAAATGCTCTTCTTTGTCTCAGCGGGCTGCGGCCTGAGAGGCATGTCTCTGTCTGGCAGGAGAATGAGTAAACAAACTGCACTGTGGCCTACATGTCATAGGCAGACATGTTGTTAGCAGTGGTATGGGAGAATAAGGACCACACCAGTATCTAAACAGACCAAATTTGCAGTTACGTTTACATAGTGTTTAATGTGCCGCAGCTGATTAGCTATTTAGCTATCTAGCCTGCAAACAAGCCTTGTGAATGTCGCTTGTTCATCAAACTAAGGTGCTGGACAAGATGTATGTTCATGTTTGTAACTGTTAGAAAAAGGAGGAGAAGAAGGAGAGGAGAGAGGAAAGGCTGTGCATTGTTGTTCAAATTCTTTGGCTCTGGTGTTGTCTAGCACAGTGGTTAAATAATAATAATAATAATAATAATAATAATAATAATCTAAACTTTAAAAATAACTATTTTATTTGTATTCTTTACATAAATGAACAATATACTGAGATATAAGCCTCCTGTGTATATTTTTAAAGTTTTCTTACACCCCTTAAAATCAAGAAGGCCTTGCGACCCCACATGAAGCTTTGGTGATCCCTAGTGGGGGTCCCGACACCACCACGGGTGTAGCAGGCTGTTGTCTGTCTGTTTATGACAGAATGAGACGTTACTGCTTTATGCAAATATGGTTTAAAATGTCTTCCATGAAAAAGGTTTTATTTCAATAAAACCTGACTGGTCAAACCCTTGTTCATAAGGTCTTACCTCCGTCACCCCTCCAGAGCGACTCTGTGCTTCCAGAGTGTTCTACCACACTGAAGAGGCTGGATAGGCCGTCTGTGAGGCCGTTCAGGACGGGGCTGTCCCTGGTGGTGGTGGAGCGAGCCCAGGCTGAGCCTCCTCCACCACTGATGGATCTTTGCTGGAGGCTCCACAGGCTCCGGTCCCTGGAGGAGGAAGTCCCATCCAGTCTGGAAGTGGAGCCTAAAAACAGAACAGTTGGAGATGTCTTTCTTCCAAAAAATAGTGCTTACATTGAAGATCTGTGAAGCACATTAATGGAGCCATGTTAACAACAACACAGACAACACAACACAGACAACTATCCCAAACTGTCTTGAAAATATGTCTTGACTCCAAGGATGTTAAAACAAAGTGTAATTACCAGATGACACTCTGCGTTGTAGTTTCGGTGATCCGTACTTGGGCGAACAGCATGGCCTCTCGATGCGACTGTGAACTTTATCCAGTGATGTCGATATTTCGCCAGGTTCGAGCTGATGCCAGCGAGGAGGTGGTCGTTGGCGAGGGGCGAGGAGACCAGGCTTTGGAGTGTAACCCCGTCCCTCTGCTGTTTGGAAGGTTGTCGGTTTGAAGCCCGATGCTGACGTATGATGAAGCAGTCTGCGTGGACCTGGTGGACATACCAACCGCCTGGGTAGAGAAATGAAAGTGATGGAGAACGTTTAGTGTCTTTGGAGAAGGAGAAAATGCAATGAGGAGTAATTAATAACAGCTACTGAAGTTGTCTGATGAAGTACTGTGGCCACAAAATCTTTTTTTTAAATGAAGCTATGTTTTAAGACCAATAGTTGGACCATAAAATCTGACAATTTAAACCTTTTTGGCTTTTCACTTAAAAAGAAACTACCTGACTTCCTGGTTCCTTGGTGGATTTCCTCTCCAGAGAGGAAGAGCGTATGGCCTGACGGACACAGTTAGTCATCTCCTTCATGTCATCACTTAAATTGGCTGAAATCTCCCCGATCTCGAGGCCGTGGAAAGCTGACGAGGGCGTCATCCCATCAACCAAACTGTTAGCTGAGCCACTGACGCCGTTGTTGACGACAATGGGGATCGAACCGGCGATGCAGCCACTTCTGCTCTCCAGCAGTTCCCTGTGCTGCTTGGACAGTGAGCACAGCCACTGCTCATATGAGGAAGAAAAGGAGGATGGAGGCTGTTGCTGCTCAACCTCCAGGGTTCCCACCGCAGCCACGCCCCCGTTTGAGCCACTCAGCCCAGGGGAAGAGCTCCCGTTCTGGGCCTGCTGCGGCTCTCTGGCGTCCTGGTTCTGTATTCGGTGCTCCATACGTCGTACAGAAGGAGGACTGTAGTAGATCCGGATGCCAGTGCGGTCTGGAGCAGTATAGCTCCTCTGGACGGACTCCAAATCCAGCTCTGATCCCACTAAGCTGCTGTAGGAGCCGGTGGGGCCGTCCCATGTTTTACAGGTGTCCCCAACCTCTGGTGTCTGTGAGGAGATAAGAGCGTGGAGAGATACCAGAATAAAATGATTATCTGTACACATTTTACCATGCTGTCCTCAGTTTGAGTAGCTGTAAGGTGGGAAAAGAGAACAGAAATAATAATTATCATACAAATCAAATATATCTGCTAACTTTAGTCCCCCATAAAATATGTTCTTTCTTCTTGTTCCTACAGTTTGATGTTTGATCTTCACTGTGCATAATGATGTATGTGCAGAGTTTAAGTTTGAGTTTTCTCTGTGCTCATTGAAAAGATTTTAGGGGCTTTACAGTGAATTAGGAGACATCTTGTGTCCGGCAGCAAAACTTTAGAAATGAACAAAATGTGCATATTCACAGATTCTGCAATTTGTAATGAGGTAGAAGGAGTAGTTGCCTTTTTAAGGACTTTAATGTGAAAATTATACTTTTTTTCTAGACAGACATTATTGTCCGAAGCAGAGTATTAGTACATGTCGTAATACATGACTGGAGGGGATCTTTAATGTCTCAATCACAGAGATGAATAAAGGAATTAGAAATTAAACTTCTCTGTTATTATAAAGTAATAAATCCAGCCTTTGTCCCCGAGTCTTCCCAAAGATAAGTCGAGATATAAAAGTTAAGGAATCACAATAAACTGCAGATTCTAAACCAGTAAATGTATAAAGTAACTTATTCACCTCATTGGTCAGGTAGGTCCAATTCTTCCTGGTAAGGTCACCCAGTTCTGGGCGAATCAAAAGGGACTGGACTGCAAACTGGATCTTCTCCTCCTGATTGGCTGTCCCGTTAACCTCTGGGCCGTCCAGCTCCGATGTAGATTTGGTTCTGTTCATTGACATAAGAGGGAGGAGTTGATGAGAAAGGAGAAGAGATGCCATGCGCTGCTTTCAAGGTTATAAATGTACACTTGTTCATGAAGTCCCAAACTCTTGAGTTTGAGAAATCTTCTGATTTCTCCACGTCTTAAGCATTCATTTCAGTGCAAGTTGTTGTTTTTAAACATTACCTCGGTGATACAGTTCCATTAGCGACGACTGTGTCTGCAGAGGACTCACCACCTAATGACTTTGACTGTAAGAAGAGAGAAGACCCAGACTGTTAGTGAAAAGAAAATCTCTGAAAATCCCTTTTACTTCATTTCTACACCTTTTTTTCACACCCTGGAAGACATCTACTGTAGACACATTCCTTTTATTGCCATCCACTTCCTCTGGAGCTGTTTTCAAAGAAGGAAGTGGAGACTGACTAGTATAATCTATCTGTGGCAGACAGCGTGCAAACACACACACACACACACACACACAGAAGGTGATGCTGAGTCAGTGTGTTTCACACTTGCGAGAGGTGATCTCACACTAGCTATTTCCCCTCAGAGGAAAGACACCAAATGAGAGAGACATTGGGAGAAGGGAAAAGGACATCTGCATAATGTGCTTAGTTGTGCAGATACTAATAGACTTTCACCTGCAACTCACTGAACTGCACACCAGGCTGCCTGGATGTGTACAGTGTACTGTCAGAAAGCTAAAAATACACTAGTTCAGTGATTCCTGCAGTTGCCAGAGGTTACATGGAAAGATTGTGGAGTAGCTCAATTTTTCATCCACATACTGAGTGAGCTGTAACACTTGGACACAGGCCCGCCTACAGAAATGGCTGAGCCCCTGAAAAGGTCCAGTGGACGGGCCCTCCTAAAATCTGCTTCACTCATATGAACGCATGCGTGCCCTCTCTCTCCTACACAAACACATACAAACTGAGAGAGACTTACTCAATACAATGGCTATAGGCATAGGCACACACAGGTGGTGGCAGTGGTGGCTCCTTTACTGACGCTAGCAACCTCTTGGCTAGTTACGTTAGCTTGTAACGTTACTAGCCATTACATTATTATTTGGGTCTAATTATTATTATTATACTGTGGTGCCACGTGCCTTGTACCATACAAAATGGTATCCCTTTACTACTTTTCCCACACTCCAGTAAATGTATTTCCTGTCTGTTTTCTTTTAAAATCTAGTTTCACTAGAAAATCAATCTCAATTTAATTAAAATTATAATTTTCATGTATTTTGGTGAGATCCCATTTTTCAACTGGAAATACACACAAATTTTAAAATAACCGACACAAATAAAATTGATTCATGAGTAAACATAAGATTTGTAACTCAAAAAATCCAGCAAGCTTTCCACTAACTAGCCTGATGGGGGCACTATGATCAAATGTCAGAAGTCTCTGAAAGGCCCAACAGTATACTACAAGTAGAATAGATGAGATTTGTGGGTGACAGAGCATGACACAGATACACTCAGAGAGACTGAGACAGAGTGAATTAAAGTATGACAAGCTTCGGCCTCCTGCCAAGTTTCCAATGCGGGACACGGCCACTTAATGGAAGGAGTGAGACGGGATCACACTCCACAGATAGGCGTGAGGAAGGAAGAGGAGGGAGGTGGAGGAGAGGGGGAAAGAAAAGAATGATTGGAAAGGAAAGAGGGTGAGAAAGGGAGGACAAAGATGCCCTCAGACTGTAAACCTCAAAGGAAGCAGACACAGGAGAGATGATGGAGGAGCACTGACCTACTAACTGTGTGTCTTTTTTTCTGTGCGTATGTGTGGGGAGAAAAGCTAACTAATGATTACTTTAAACAATGATGCAATCCCTCTTCACCCCTCCCTGACATGTTGCAGCAGCTTGGCAGTGACTGTGCTGCTGCATAATCAGCAGATCACACTGACCATGTTTTTCCTGGTGAGCTCAACTTAACATTAAACTGCAGCTTGACCTCAGTCAGAGAATGCTCCTTACTCACATTATGGCATTAACAGCTGGGTGCTTACTGTCAGCATCAACAGAGTATTCTAAGAGGAAAATGCAATCCTAAAGACGGATGGATTTTTTGTAGCTACAGTGACGTTTTGTACTGCTACTGCTATTTCAAACCATCTTCTAGTTTGAAGAGTTTGAAAAAGCTGTGTTCAGACCAAAAATAGCACTGCATTAAAAACACATACGTGTACGCTGCGTTTTGACCATGACAATGATTGAGCAGGCCAAAACGCTGCTCAATCATTTTATGTTTCACAAAAATATCTGTATTCAGTGTCATACTGAATGTGGGCAAGTTGTCTAGACTTACTGTTCTTATGGTAAACAGGTGTGGACAAACATTTAGATAAACTTATAAAGAACATGTATATCACAGCAGTCTTGAGTTCCAATGACTTCAACAACTACAGGGACTACAGCAATTAAAGTAAATTCATTTGAACATATTGCATGATTTTCTTTAAAAACTGGAGGTTGTGTATGGAATATAGATAACATATTCTTGGTTTGAAATGTCCATGATAAACAAATGAGACAAAAAAAAAAGTTATATAGCTGCATTGCATCATAGTTACAAAATGGATCCAATTGTAATGGACGGAGGTCCAGATGAAAACTGTCCCTGCATTTCAATTCAACTGAGTTATGACTCTGGTGGTCTGACAAAGAACGTAAGTAAGGTTCAACTGCAGCCTTATTGCGACAGCTATGGCTCTCCAAGTCTTAGTTTTTCATTTTTTTATATTAAATTTAAGAGAAACCTGGGAAATCATCGGATGAGATTGAATGCACTGGGACAAGTGTGCCAGGAAATAACACATCTGATCCAATGACTCGATACACTTGAGATGTCCTCATACACCCTCATCCTCTCAGATTCCAACATCCCAAGATACAGTCGCTTTTTATCTCCTCATCTTTGACATTTTTCTCTCTCCGTCACACACTCAAACACACTCAGCCCATCATACCTTCCCCTGTTGTGCAGTGGCCTCTCTCAGTCTCTGCTCCCACTGAGCTCTCTCCTGGCTGAACCTCTCCAGCAGCTCAAGCTTCTCTCTGCCCCAGTTTCTCTCTCCGATCTGAATCTGATTGGTCCGCAGGTCGGTCACAGCAGAGAGACAAGAGGGGGCAAAAATCAGAGGAGGAAATAAGATGTATGTAGAGTACACTGAAATATGACTTTGAATTTAAACACCACAACGATGTGGAGTTTTTAGAACTTGAAATTGAACCTGAAAACCCTGATTGAACTATTAAAACCCTGCAGGCACTTATATTTTTACAGTTTGCAAATTACACACTTTGCTCTTTCTGTGCAAACAAGGTCACAGATTTTGCCAACCAAACTTGCTGCACACTCACATTTACACACACATTTACCTGTTTGGTCAGGTCCATTACCGCTGCATAGGAATCGGCCAGGAGGTGCTGGTGTTCTTCGCGCTCCCTCTTGAGTGCCACCTTCAGGTCTGGAGGTTCCAGCTCAGTGGCGGACAGAGCTGCTGTGGCTGCTTTGCCTGCTTTGGTCTCAAGCTGGAGAAAGACAAAAAGACATCATGGTAAAAATCAAAATTTAAATCCTAAGTAAGTGGAGATCTTTCGTTTGTCGGATAAATCGCTGCTGTTAGATAAGCACGACAATGGACAATTATTGATACCATAATTTGATTTACTTCTCATTTTCTCAGTAACAGTGCGGTTGATTTATTTGTTTTGCCTCTCAAAACAGCAGAGGCCAGTCTCTTCCAATCTCTTCGCTCCAAGTAAACAGAGAGAAACGCACAATCACACAAATAATTACTAGCTTTCATGAACACAAATATGACTAATTTGACCACATACAGATTGGTAACGGGAAGTCCCAGCGTCTCCGTGTGTTTCATCCTCACAAGAGGGTATTTTTATAAATGATCTCATGGGCGATTTCCGGAGGCAAAGCAAAGCCTCCACACAGATGAGATCCTCCTGAAGGCTTAATGCTGCTCATTGAATGATGTTCATGTTGTGGTGAGGGCATGATAAAGTATGGACAGAGTGGAAAGAGACCACAATCTAGAGAATTGTCTTGTTTCTTCCCTCTACTCTGTTGCTATCTTTCCACTCTGAAGATCTCTTATTCTTACCTTGTCCCTCTGTACTTCGAACCCTTTCTCACCTTCTCTCCATCTTTCTCACCCCTTCTCTACAGCTTTCTCACCCCTTCTCTACAGCTTTCTCACCCTCTATTTCTAGCTCTCTCACCCCATTTTTTGCTCTCCATAAATCTGGCCTGTTGTCACAGAGCCTGTAGGTGGGATCCCTTTAAATTTTTATGAGCAGCTCTGCTTTCTCTTTTCTTCAGTCTGAGCCTCATAGTTCACACAGCCGACACTACCGGGCCCCATCAATTTGACAAACAAGCACACGCACGCACACACGCAGGCACACACACACACACACACACACCCCAGACCCATCAATCCTCTCTCTGCCTCTCTCTGTCTGGCTCTGTGGCACTGGCGTCCGTATATGGTGCTAATGGAACTGTCTGGCAGCCAATCACAGTGAAACGCACGCACACTTAGCCCAGCTCCCGTCTCCTATGGCAACTGAGTGTTTCTCGTTGATGATGAACGCTGCTTAACGAGCCCCACGTCTTAACGAGGTTTACTGCTGAGGCGTTCAGAGGAAGGCGATTTTCCTGGATGACTGGCGTTTATTGGTGGATGAGAGACGTCTGGTTCACGACTCGCTACTCACCGTTTAGCAAGTTCAATTACTTTTATTTATTCAACTAAAACACTGACTATCAAGTTTAGATCTATTAATTATGTTTTTGTTTTACTTGAATAATCCCAACAGAAGTCTTCAGGGCCTGATTAGTAAAAAAAACGCTACTATAAAATAACACTTAGTGATTACATTTTTGTCTTCACATTTGTCTCCTGCATCATGTGGCTTTCCAGCTGTTTTCCTTGAGTATCAGTACAGAAGGAAGTTTTCAGACATGGAAGAGAGTTTTTGTAGAAACACAGAGCAAGCAACTGTTATCAGCCTTGTGGCAACAAACACCAATTAAACCCACGGGGGCTTTAAATTGTGAGTGGGAGGTCAAGAGGAATAAGGTAATATCACTATCATTAGATCCTTTGTTATTATTATTATACCAATTACAGAACATATACAATTACTCCTCCAGCTACATGATTTAGTCCCTGTGATCTTCCTGTAGAATGTTTTATTAAATAACAAGGAATAATAGGAACTAGGAATCATTTTTCAGTACAAAAACTTAAATTTATAGTAACAAAATCAATCATGTATGTGGAACTAACTGTAAACGTTGGAGAAAATAAGATATACACCGTGCTATACAGTGCTTTTAAAAGATTTGCTATTCACTTTGGCATTTAAGCTTTTTTCTTTTTAATCACTGTAAATATCAATGCTGTACAGTAGTATACTGTTGCAGCAAAGGGTCTATTATTGACAACAATAACAATGTTTAGTGTAACAGCAACCACAGTGTATTATGTGCTATTATTATGCAGCATATTATTTGCCTACAGCCAAATTTTTGCTTCAAGACAACAACAAAGTTGATGTTATCTGTTAGTGTTATCAGTGCTGCATACCAGCCTTCAGCGGTCAATGCTACGGCAGCCACAACACTCCTGAGAGACAAAATGTGTGCCAGGTTTATAAATAAAAACATAGCCTAGATATTATATAATGCATACAGATGATACAGATGTTAAATATAGCAGTGTGAATAGCTGACTGTGTTTTATGTTGTGGATTTAAACTAAAGCTCTGAAGCCCCATCTCAACCTGAATCTCAGCGTTTTCTGTCAGTCAATGGCTATTAATACATGTTTTCTAATATGTGTAAACAAACACAAAAGAATGCATGAATTATAAAATAAATAGCACTTGGCCTACAGAAGATTTTATTATTTTGCTAATCAGAGATTTACTTCTGTAGTGGGGAACCCTCATAGGGTCGACTCTTTTTGACACTATATGTGTAGTAAAAATACATTAAGAAATTCTGAAATATAATACTACGTTTTAATCTAAAACTAAAACCTATGAATTTATGAGGCAGCTTTGAACACCAGATTCAGGGCTGACACTGTCTACACCAGGAAAACAAGCATTTGTGATAAATAACCTGGTTTTATTTCTTATTAAATTATATAAATGTCTTGCCCTGCCTTGTGGTTGTCCAAAAAAAAAAAAAAAACAGTGTTGGGTAGTTGGAAGCATGAGTTAAGATACAACATGTTAATCAGTGAGCTTTAGCGGTGCTGGTAGGCAGATTGCTTTTTAACCTTTGGACTGATCTGATCCAAGCTAAGCTAACTGTCTCTAGCTTCATATTTACCACACAGACATGAAAGGGGTATGGATTTTCTTATCTAACTCTCGGCAAGAAAGCAAATAAGTCCAACTTCTTCTTTAACCAAGTAGGTTAAACTTGAATTGAACTAGATATCAACTGCAGATGCAGCAGATCAGAATGCACTCATATGAGTCACTGTGGAAGAAACAAACATCCTAGTTTTACATTCGACGGCTCATTTAGCATTGTGTTACATCTGCGTTTAAGCTGCACGCTGATGTCTCTGTTGTCTGAAAAGACAAAAAAAAAAAATTATTTTCCCATCCGCCCCTTCATCTTTATCCTCCCTTCATGAGTTGCGGATTCAACAGATGTGATGAACAAGCGATCAGAGCTTCCAGCTGCTCACTGTGTGTCATTCACAGGGACAGCAGGTGTTCCCAACATGTCCTACAGTCAGGATGGATGACTGATTAAGACACACACAAAAAAAAGGAAGAGGCGTGTGTTGTACTGCATGCTTTCAGGGCTCTGGATATCGTTTCTAGTTCACTGACGGTGTTTGTTTATCAGGCTGAACGGCAAAGATAATTTCCTTTCAAGCAGTTTGACAGGTAGGAAAGTGTTGGAAATTGAGTTGACTTGTTGGACAAAGCAACAGCTGGAGGAGCTGCTGCACGGTGCCAGGTCGCCTTGGCACCGATGTCATTGGGTTGTACACGTACACACGTACACACACGCAAACACAAATACCAGCAGGGCAAATTGATGGCATACTTTACAGTGTGCGCTGTTGGCAGGGAAGAGATTGGTTCCAGCTGTGGCATCTAGGCCAGGGTAACACACACACATGCACACACACACAGTTTGGTAGGATAGTTTACAGGTCAGAAAAGAGAATAATGGCACTAAAATGTTGCACAGTTTGTGTTTCAGAATTTGTGATGAAAGGCAAAAATATTTGAATATAAAAGTCATATCTCTGTGTGCTTCGACATCCGGCATGATGAATTGATTTCACCCGACACTGAAAAGCACAGCTAGGGTGACTTAATCTTTGATTGAGCCACAAAGGTTTGTCTGGGATTCTCATAAAAACCTGCAGCTACGTCACATTTAGGAAAAGCAGAGCGTCTTATCGCTTTGTAGCGCTGTCTCCTATTGGCTGCCGGAGGAGCTGCCAAACCAATCAGAAGACAAATGATCTCTCACCGCAGCGCGAGGGCAGAATCTCTCTGATCATGACAAAGACTAATGACCACGTCAGTGTGCATCTGTGTGTATTCTTATGTTTTGGTTCCTTCATAGTGGGGATATTTACTAATTTATAAAGGGGCTTTTTAGTCTTAGAATTTGGATTTAAGATTAGATTTACAATTAGGCTAAAGTAATCAGGTTAGATTATGGTTAATGATTAATTAATCTACCCATATGGCTTACAATATTGAAAATCATCACTTTGCATTGAACAATTTCTCTTACATTCCCTAACATTTTTTTTTTTTACTAATTTACTATTTTTAAATATATTCTGACTTGAATTTAGATCAATTATTTCATGTCTAATTGTGTTTTATGTGCATCTGATATGTCCCCCCCTATATGTGAAATGTTTACTTCCCCACTTCCTGCTTCTCCTTAAGTCAGAGGCCTCCCAGACTTCCTCTCAACAAAGCCAATGGAACAGGAGTGAACTTGTTATATTCAGTAAAAGGAAAACAATGCGACAAAACTTTTCTTAATGCTGCATTGCATTCTGGTCGATTTCTGGGTACTGTGGGTGTGACCTTTTCCCTGCATCTTGCCTTGTGATTCTGAGGAACTACCACCAAATCCTGACCTGTTTTCACATGAAACAGAATGTTGTAAGAGCTTTCTCTAATGCTGGAAGGGAATCTGACAGACTATTTGTCAAATAATGACGTTGCATGTATAATTTCAAGCTACTTGGACAAGAACCAAAGCTCTTGGGTAAATGGAAAATATGCTTTTGCTAAATGACGGCCTCCGACTTGTGTTAATGCTACTAGGGCTGCTTATCTTAAGGATGAAGGTTGACCTGAAATCTACAGCAAGTTCACATTTTATCTATATGATCTTTCTATATGGCCTTGAGTGCAAGATCTGTCAGGGTAGGCTTTACAGGAGGGGATAAGGGTGGAGTATTGATTGGAAATTTATATTAAACATGCTGTTTTGACAGATATATGGTACATAATGACGGTAGAATCACATACTCAAGGACAAGAGGTAAGAACACATGAAAAGGTTTTTTTAATTGCCCAACTTCAGACTTCTCCTTCCTCTCTCTCTTTCTTTTATCTCTCTCTCTGTTTTAGTTCCGAGCTGGTAACACACGGGCTGTGTTATATCTCAGAGGCTGTTAATTAACACTTACACAATTACTGCCTCTGCTGCTGTTATGAGACAGAGAGAGAGACAACGAGGGAGCAGAGGAGAAAAAAAAAAACATTAAATCCATTACTCCGTCTGTAGACTAGATAGACAGACAGACAGAGCAGGAATAAAAGGCTCGGGTGGACAAATATAAGCTACTTGACAGATCTGGAAGTAGAAACTAACCACCTCAGATGTCATCAAATTTAAAGTCTGTTTTTGAAAATAAATACCAGCCATTCAGACAAAGCACAAATTATTCTATTTTGGTCTGTCTGCTGCCCAACAGTTATACTATAACCGTTCCATTTACATCCAAGCAAGGAGCACAGACTTTGAAGCAAAAGTCACTTGGATTCACACGTAGCTTTTCTATTTTGACTTGTCAGTTGCAACCTTTTCTGCAGTCAATGGACGATGTGCTCCTGCGCTGATTTGCAGAGGAGGCCATTTTCTTTAATCTCCCAGACGCCTTCATTTGTCTTTGGTCCTGAATTCATTTAGCTCTGCCTGACTTTCTCAGCCTGAGTATCTGATGGCTTTTAAATGTCAACATCTTTCTCCTGATTCTGTCACCTGGCCTGGCAACATGTGCAAACAACCCAACAACTGTCATCAGGTTCTGTTTTAAACACTGCCAAATCCTGATTGGTGCACAGAAATATGTGATATCACCTCTTTCCCACTGTCCTGCCCACTTCAAACCAGTGAGTAGCAAAAACAGCACAAGTATAGAAGCAAATTTCTTAAGGTAACAACAAGGAACTTTTATTTTGTGTTGATTCTAGCGGCCCCTGTGGACAAAAGCGGTAGTGTCTCCGCCGCCTCCTTTTATTGATTTCAAGGAGAATCTGACCGAATCCGACCCGGTAACAATTATATAGAAATAGCCGATCTTCTGACTGATGGTTTGTTTATGTAGGTTATACAGAGGCATCAATATTAAATTGTAGTAGTACATTTAAAAAAAACGCTTCCAGTCTGAATTCACAGTAATACTTCTTACCTGCGTGATGAGGCTCTTCAGTTCGGTCCTCTCTACTTCCCACGATGCCTTGGCCTTTGCGAACTGCTGGGTGAGTTCCTGGGAGCCTTGTCTCTCCTGTCGCAACTCTCCGCTCAGATCCTGCAGGGCCACCTTCAGGTCTGCCAAGGTGCTGGTCACAGCGCTGGACTACAGGGGAAGACAGGCACATAAGAGTTTGTGTGTACTTGTGTGTGTGCGTGTGTGTGTGTGTGTGTGTCACTCCACCTACCTTGATAGTTGGGCTGAGAGGTTGTTCGTCTGCAGCGGCCCTCTTGTCCGTCTGGTGGGCGGGGCTCGTCAGGTTGTCCTCCTCCAAGAGTAGGTAGAGGTCTTTAAGGCTGTTCATCTAAAAAAACAATCAGAAAGCAGCGTCATTCATCTCAGGCTCTGATATTATGTAACACACACTTGATCTAATAGGACAGTTTCATTATTTTTTTTTTCCATCTAGCTGCAGTATTCAAAACAATACAAAACATTTTATTTCACATTTTATGTGACATTAAGTGATTTGTTCCGATACAAGTTATTTCTGTATACAACCAGTTTCAACCTGAGATCACATCATTTTGAGCACAAATGGAGATATCGTTTGGGGCTCGGAAAGCATTACTTAAACCAAAAATAGAATATAGACTTTAGATACACAGCCTAGCTACAAAATAAATGAATATTTTGGGTCAAAATAAGGACATATGTCAACAGTGCTGACAGTCAGCTATTGACTCTGACAAAAGAGAAACATAGCTGTGGGACATTTTCCTTTGTGTCCCTTCATACCTCCAAGATGTCTTTCCACTCTGTGTCCTTCTTGCAGCCCAGCCTCCACTGTTTGAGGAAGCAGCGCAGTTTGAGGCTGAGCAGTAACAGGGCCTGTTTGAGGTGCTGAGACTCCTGGACCAGCAGAGTTCTCTCCTGGCTCCACAGCTTCTGCTGAAGCCGAGCCTGGAGACCCAAACTCTGCAGCTGGAAATCCCGACGGAGCAGAGCCTTCTGGTGCTCCTCCTGCAGCTGAGAGAGAAAGACAGTTTGAGACAGGAAACCGTTTATTTGCTTCTAATGCGAGACATGAATCAAGTGTGTGATTTTGTGAGTGTCCTCACAATTATGCACGTTAAAGGAAGGTTTCCATGTGTTCACAATGGAAGGAATTCAAGAAACAAGTCACCAAAAGCCTATTCATTCTCTAAAACCAAATAATAATGAATGTTGTTAAGCACAGATAGACCATGGATGCATCTAAACTTTGCTTTACTTTTATCTACAGCTGTTGAGCCTTTTTCAGATTTTATTAAAACCTTTTACAAAGAAAACTGGAAATCAGAAATGTCAACAGAACACAGGGAATTTACCAAAATATATTTTTAGACCTTCAAAACCAAATTTAGGATTTAAAATACTTCAGTAACAGCATCCAATGCCTTAGGTTTAACAGCATCATTTTCAGGACATTTCAAGACAACAGCACTTACTTTACAAAAAACAACAACAACAACAGAGGGTAATTCCAGCCTGACTGCAAAATAAGTGGGTTCTTGTCTGTGTCTGTCTTTGAGGGTGTTTTGTTTACAAGTTTAGTTTTTTAGTTTGTGTGTCTTGACAGTATTCAGTGCTGCAAACTGACCTGTGTGAGTTTGTGAGTGGTTTCTCTCCGAGCCAGCCTCTCATTCTCCAGCTCCTCATGAGGCCCAAGAGCCGACTCCTCCTCGGACAGCCGAGCCTGGAGGTCACTGGACCGGACGGGCTGGAGGAGTGAACAGGGGAGATGAGGAAAGGATGAGTGGGGAGAAAAAGATAAGGAAGGAGAGGGGGATGGAGTGAAAGAAAAAATAAGAATTAAAGGAGAGAAAGAAAGAAAGGAAGGGAAAAAAAGCAGTGTATTGAGAAACATACAAGGTGGGGAGGGTGGAGGATGAACAAGAAAAAGAATAAAAGTAGCAATGGAAGGAAAAGTGGGGATGGAAGAGAGAGTTGGAAGGAAATGAAAAAGGGAGACAGCCGAGTGTGAGAAGCACATAACATGGCAGTTTTGTGCTACAACACCCTTTAAATCACACCTCAACTGCAGCACGCTACTGTATGTCCACACACACAAGCCTCATCTCATGCACGCTCCCCATGGCTCATTTGGCTGCTGAGTGAGTGCGATCCATCGACCCACCACTGTACCATTAATGTCCTCTTTCACCCTCCACTGGACTCAGCCTCTGCCCTCCATCACCCTTCACCCAGAACGCCACCCCGGCCCCTCACAGCTTCCCCTGTGAGCCAGAAAAACTACTCTGACTGCTGTTCCAAAATAACTCACGAGTTGTAAAAAAGTGGCAGCTGCTTGTGCAAAATATATACTATATGAATATAAATATAATACTTTAATAAGACAGTTTAAGAATAACCTAATTAACACACTGTAAGATCACTGGTCGGTGATCCTGATATAGCATTTCCTTAAATTCTTAAATTTGACTATTTTCATGCCATAAAGTTACTATACGTGATCCCTCACGGTGACGACAAGACTCCAGGAAATCAGAGAGAAATAGTTGCAGCATGTTATACTCCAGGCCTGGCTAACTGTTTCTCTCTGCTTTCTGGCTGTTGCCTTATGTTTAACAGACAGATATGAGAGTGGTAACTTTACACAAAAAAGCCAATGAGCATATTTGCCAAAATGTCTCAGTATACCTTTATGGACTCAGCTCGTCGTTATCTTATCTTAGCATTAAGACTGGAAGCAGTGGCTAACTGCTTTCCTGGCTCCATCCAAAGTTAAAATGTATACATCAACCAGCACTATTAAAGCTGACTCACTTTATATCTGGTTTGTTTAATCCGTGCACAATTATACGTATAAAGAACAATCTGCAGTTTTAGGCGCCGTTACGTGCTGTCACTACCCCTGGTGAGCTGGGTGCTGTGACTGTGCCAGTCTTGTCATCCCAGTGATGATGCCAGGTTTGGTACCATTTTGTGCCTGTGAGACTAAAATCAAGACCTGTGGTCGATGACTGTATTTAGCAAATCGCACTCTAGCTGCAGACGCTGCACAGAAGTACTGGGTGGATGGATGGATGACGATGATGTCCAGAAATAGCGTTGAGCTATAATACAAACTACATTTGCTGGGTATGAGTTACATTACCATGCTGAATACTGAGCGTATATTAACACTGTGTGTATGTGCTGCTGTGTCACTGCTCTGTTTATCGCAGCTACAAAAACAACTGCCTGACTTTCTCTCTTGTTATCTGTCTCTCTTTCTCACATTCACCCTCTCAGGCTTGGATAAAGATGCAGACACATACACCCCGGTTACCATGGAGACACACCAGCTAAAGGTCAACCAAACAAAGGTCTTCCTGTCGGGCCCACATCTGAGGGTGAAGTCACTGTTTATGTTTGTTTATAAAACTGTGTTGCTAGCATGAGTTGCCACCACTGTACCACATCAGTTACTGCAAGCAAGTGTGTATGTGTGTATATACCGCAGACACATGTATTAGAGGCCAATTTTCATAATTAGGGTTTGTATTGGATTCAGTAACATAAATATTAATACTAAGCATCAAAATTTCATTCTTGACATTGGAAATTAGGTCGCATGATGAGAACTGAGCAAACTCTTTGGCTAAGGAAGACCATGAGATGTAGTTGAAAACCTCCTATATCTACAATATTTAAACTATATCAGAACAAAAATTCCCTGACTGATACTGGATGTTTGAGGCAGTATTTGATATCTGAGATTTAAAAAAATCATATGATGATTTATCGGCCGATAGTAATTTTTTATAAACACATGGCATCTTGATCTTTATTGTGACCAAGATACTGAGTGGGACATTTTACTCTTCTAAAAATCTACTTGTCAGTGCTCTCTGGTGGAAAAAAACAATGTAATAGAGACACTAGACATACACTCTTAATAACCTCAATGGAATTTCTGAACTGCAATTTCTTGCTTATCAGCTGACAAATACACCAATACTGATATATCTGCGATAAATTAATATTAGCTGATATATAGTGCCGGTTGATTTACAGATGTTTAATTTAACTGTTGTTGTGTCCATAATATTATGACAACCTGTGCACCCTGACTGGTCTGCAGCTATGCAGCCCCATACCAACAAACTGTGATGCATGCATGTGCCTTCGCTCCCCACATGCTTCAATGAGCCTTGGCCCCCCATGACCCTGTCTCTGGTTCACTGCTTTTCCTTCCTTGGACCACTTTTGATAGGTACTGACCACTGCAGACCGGGAACACCCCACAAGGAGCTACAGTTTTGGAGATGTCTTTATCCAGTCGTCTAGCCATCACAACTTGGCCTTGTCAAAGTTCCTCTAAAATCCCTCACGCTGCCATATTTCCTGCTTTAAACACATCAACCTTGAGGACAAAGCTGTTCACTGCGCCTAATATTCCACCCACTGACAGGTATGATAACAAGATAATCACTGTTATTCACTTCAGCTGTTAGTGTTCATAATGTTATTACTGATCGGTGTAGAGTCAAATATAAGAGACCAGAAAAGGTAAAGCTTAGGGACACAGCAGATGGCCAAGCATGTCTGTGTGCTGTTTGAACTTGTCGCACCTCATGTAACTCTAGGCAAGAAAGCACACAAATATATATATTTTTTAGAGAAATTCTATTTTTGTTGTTGTTTTTGTCATTTCAAGTCAGTTTACTTAGTTACTTCATCATAAGGGTCCGGCTGATACAGCAACAGACTAGACCTTTTGTTTTTTACCTTGAAGCTGAACGCTCACTGTTTGTGTGTCTGTGTATACAAGAGAAAGTGAGAGAAATTTGACATTATAACACTAGCTTCGGGCTTAACTCGGGTTCTTTCTGAAAATATTTCTCGCTGTCAGCCGTGAGATGCACCAGGGCTGAAATTTCAGGCCCCTGCAGTTCTCTAATGTGTATGTTTGTGCCTGTCATGATGTGAATGATTGTGATTTTGAGCGACTCACCAGTGCATCATCTGCCTCCTTCTCTCCCTGTTCCAGCTGGCTGCTTTCCTGCTTTTGAGTCTCATTGATGTCTGATTGGCTGTTCTCCTCAGTTTGACCTTTCACCTCCGGTTCTGATTTGTCCCTATAATCAGGCTGCTGCATGCATGCATGGGCAAGTTAATGAAGGAAAAAAAACAAACGAAAAAAAAAAAGAAATTCATAGAGGAGAGAGAGAGGGACAGGGGAGGAGGAGTTGTGGAACAAAAAAAGGAGGAGAGTGATAGAAATGAAAGGAAAACAAGACACACAAACACAACAATAAGAATAAAAACAATACAACCAAAATGGCGTTCATCCATATGACAACATTGAGAAAAATTAAAAACAAAACAGAACTAGTTGAGTATGGATCTCACAAGACGAAGAAAAGGATGTAGAGGAAAAAGAGCTTGGTCACAGAGGAGAAGGAGAGAGTGGAGAAAAGAAATAAAAGGAGTATGGAGGGTAGAATGAACGGCTGAGGGTGGAGGAGATAAAAAGGAAACAGAAGAGGACATAGAGGAGTGGGTAGAAAGGAGAGACAGGGAGGGGAAACAGCAATGGGAGGTAGAAGAGGGAAAGGAGAAGGCAAGAGGGGGAGAGAAAAAAGACGAATGGGAGGGCAAGAGAAGGAGTAAGGCGGTTAGAATGAAAGGTCAGAGCGAAGGGGCGACGGAGCAAAAAGGTGAAGGAGAAGAGGGAGAGGGAAGGAGGGATGTGAGGTGAGCGAAAGGGAAAGCAGGGAGGCAGTTCGGGAAATGACGAAGAGGAGGAGGCGTGGTGAGTGGGAGAAAGGAGGTTTAAAAGGAGGGAAAGCGGGACATGGAAGTGAAGTGCAGAAACCGACGGTTATGGTGCCCGTGCAGAGGGAAAGAGGGAAGGAGGAAGGGACGAAGGGAAGGAGAGAGAAAAAGGAAAAGGGAGGAGAGATCGGAGGGGTGTTGGGACTCAGAATTGGCCTCTAATGGAGTCTAAACATTTTAATGTACTCCCTTAAAACTTTTTCACCACAGACTCCTCCAAACAGGCAAATCAGATTAGATTAGAATATAAAACAGAGTTTTACTAGAAACAAGTTTCTCTCGCTGTAAAGTCAGTAAACCAAATTGCACAAATATCCATCTGAACAAGTCAATTTAGTAAAACTGTTCCTGAAAAAACTGATGGATTCTCATCAAATTTAATGTTTTATTCAAACACGTCCCTGACAATTGAAGGCGAGAGGAACATATGCCATCAGGTGTCTCTGCTAAGTCCAATGTGGGTTTCTATAACTTTGTAGATTTTAGGTGGAACATTATATAGCTGAAAATACAGTAGATGTTCAGACTAAACCAATAAATAATAGATCACTGACAATCAGCTGCAATCCAAGAATTTCTCAGAGGAGCATTTCAGACTGAAAATGTGAGTTATGAAGTATGATTGGAAATCTAGCTCGAGCTCACTGTCTCATCTGCTGCTTTAAGAAAACTGTGTGAACAGCTCTTTCAATTTTATTCCCAGGTGAACATTTTTTCTTTGCATAGAAATGATGGATTTTATAACTTTGGTTTTGTAGTCATGTGTTTCTACCAATTTTACTCTTATTATAAACACCAAACTGTCATTTTAAAAGATTTGCTTGTCCAATCCGTTCATAGTACAGTTCTCACTATCTGGTGTCAGTGGCAGCTAAAACAGATGGACACCAAACACTAGACTTTTACTAATTTTATAAACAAAATATTCAAACTAAAACAGTGTCATATACTACTTTTATACTGTTTATAGTTTATTATTTGCTATAAATAATAAACGTGATAATGCTATATGTGAATAAATCTATGGATATAAATGTAACTACTGCTCAACCACTCTAGCTGTAAACCCAGACTGTGTGTTGAACTAGTTTTATGATATGCTGATGAAAATATATGCTCTCAATAACCTCACTATGTCCATGCAACAAACAGGCTCCATTTGAGGCCTAAACAGCATCTAAATACCAGGTGAAGAGGCAATTTAACAGCATGCAGAGGACATGGGTGGCATCGCATGGAGAGGTTTACACCCGCAGCTCAAATCTGAATTCATTTAATACAGCAAAGGCAATGTTTTTCCACAATTTCCCATTTACTGGTATGTTTGTCACTAATGAGCTTTGCGTCTAGACTAACTGGAGAGACAAAAAGATTGATGTCATGCCTACTATGGCGGCCATTTTTAGATCCCCAGCACTCCAGATACTGGTAAAGCAGATTTTTTTTCTCTTTTCAACAGATCTGAATGAATCTCAATCAACATTTAGTTTTCAATCATCTCACATTGCCTTATATGTTTGTGTTTCTTCCTGTTGCTGGTGGTACATCAGATTTGAGTGTCTTGTGTAAATTCATTCTCCAGTGTGATGAGTAACTAAAGCAGTATGTTTAGATGGGATTGGGAGTGTTATTCAGCCAAACTAATAGTTAAGCACTGGATCAAACACAAAACTGAAGAACAGAAAAACAAACTAGTGACAACAGAAAAGAAAAATCCAACAAAAGTAGAAGCTGATAATAAATGAAAGAGACAGAGTGACGAGGAGTGAAAAGGAGGAGTGTGTTTCTTGTCTTGTACCTTCTCCTCAGCAGTGTTCAGTCCATCCTGGCCGTCTCCAGAGCAGGGCAGGGAGGCGCACGGTGAGGCCAGAGGAGACGCTCCTTCCACCTGCGGGTCCCTCCCACCTGCTGGGGGCTTACCCAGGTTGTCTACCTGCTCCACAAAGGCCTGTAGCTGGGTGTGTAGGGCCTGCAGCCTGCTGGTCAGAGCACCAACCAGAGGCCGGTCTGACAGGTCAGACAGCTCTGAAATCTGGGGAGCAAAGAAATAACAGAATTTGTCACACTGTCAGTTATTATTGGCTGTGTGAGGCTCAGGATGATAAATGATAAGTTAGTGGCTGAAAACTCAGGGCAACAAAAATGCCAGAGCAGAAGATAAAAAACATTATCGCTTGGGTTGGTGGATTGAAGATAGTTGATGGTTGAGTCCCCCAAAGCACCTGTATTTGACGACCCGGTAATGAGGCTTAACCATCAACTTTCATTCTCGGCTCTGATTGGTTGTTTACGTTCAGGCTTGGTGGATTCTTGCAAATACCACTAGGAGCACTAGGAGGACTGTACTATTGTCAGGTTATAATTTTTCAACAAATACCAAAAACAAAATAAAAAAGTTACCTACTGCAGCTTTTAGTCCAAGTACCTGAAACATTTTACTTCTCTTATTTAACTTATTTATTCTCTCTTAACTGTACTGGACTTATCCATTATAGATTATAAAATGAAGGAGAACACCTGTCCTGTAGAGCAACATTAAGGAAGGAAATGGCAGAAAATTCTGGTTCATTTGTTTGTTAATTCAGACAGATATAGCTCTGAAATCATTAGTTAAAAATGAACTAACTAACTCTTTGATCTGACAGTATGGTGGAAGAGGACGTGTACCTGGCTGTGAGGCTGAGGTTTCTCCAGGTCACACGGCTCTGCTGCGTCGTTGCTGCAGACCTTGTGATATATGGATGGGGAGGAGGAGAGGCAGTTAGACTCGGGGGAGGTCAGGAGCTGTATCGCCGTGGAAACCAAGCGAGCCTGGTCCCTCATGGCCAGCAAGGCATCATGGTCCTTCTGCCCCAGGCACCCAGGGAGCGAGGTTGTTGCGTCAGCGTTGTCCTCGATCTTCTTTTTCCGTTCCTTGATCTCCAGGGCGTCATTCTCACCCCCTACTGGCTCTTTGCGGTGGGGCGGGCTGATGAAAAAAGAGCACAAGAAAGAGCATGTTTAGGCCTTCTCATCCTGAAAGACCTTAAAGTTATTTAAAGAAATGGAAATTCTAACATCTATAACTGTGATGACTGAGTAAACTCGATCTGCTGAAGATCATCGTGTGATACCATCAATAGCTCCAGATGAGCTACTAAATGGACCTTGGGTGAGACTGTATTGTCATCCGCTGTTTCAAGAATGAACTTTCAATAGTCTGGGTTGCTTGTGTGAACAACCCTGTTCGGTTTATGTAATGTGGTTGATGCACTGTAATCTTACACAGCCATGGGTTCTTCTAATCTCTCATTTAGTTCATAGATAAAATCTATTTTTAAAACTTGGATCTTAAAGTAGAGCTGTGATGGAAATATACAATATGTGGCACAATAGAATTCAAAGAAATCTGTCTTTATTTAAGTGCATTTTTGTCTATTGGGGAGATTTACACCGCTTTGCCTCGACTGCCTTGAATGATCAGATGGAACCACATTCCACCCAAAAAATATGGTACTACCTGGTGGGGAGGCACTCAGCTGAGTCTCCGGCCTCTGCGTCAGTCTCCAAAGCCAGTCGTAGTGAGGAGGAAGAGGAGGAGGAGGAAGGAGCATGGTAGGAGGCCAGATCACAGCGCTGCAGGTTGGACAGAAGCACTCGGTTCTCGTACTGCAGCTTCTTTACCTTCCCGCTCAGTTCTCCAATCTGAAGCCTCGCCAATCTGATCTCCTCCTCCTGGGCCGGGGCGTCTGTGCTGATAAGCACTGCCCCTTCCTGTATGGAGTGCACCGGGCTGTCGTTGAGCAGCACGTCCGTCAGCGACGTTAGTGAGTTGGACGACATCGTGGACGTTGGCGGTGGGAGTTCAGATTTATAGCGGTTAATCTCATTCATCAGGAGTTTGTTCTGTTCCTCCATCTCGATAAGAGATCTCCTCAGTAGCTCCGCCTCCTCCTCCACAAACTGGAGGTGTCTCTGGAGCTCCATGACGTTTTCAGATGAAGCCCCTCCCCCGAGTACCATGGCCCCTCCTCCTAGACTAAGACCTGCCCCGAGACCACCACCAACCCCAGTAATTTCTTGAAGACCATCTAGGGACAAGAAAAAATGAGAGGTCAAGCAATTGAGAAAGCAACATTAACATGTATGAAATAATAACTGCAGAATCTTATAAATATTATTATAATATATGAACATGCTGTTCTTTCTTGTTTCCTGTCTTTGTGCTAAGCTAAGTGGCTAACTGGCTGCTGGCTTCAGATTTGACATTCAAATCTCAGAACTGAGATAAAAGCTCAAATGTAGCTATATAGCTGATAAACCTTTGCAAACTTTTCAAGCTATCTAAATTAGTTAGTTAGCCTATCTTAGTTTGAACTAGTTATATAGTCATTATTTAATGAAAAGCCAGTGCCAGCCACAGTGTGTTTTATGACTCTCTTGGCTAGGAGCTTTCCATGTCTCTGAGAAATCAATTAAATAAATGTATAACTGACCAACGAGATGAGTTTAAAAACTACCTTGGGGTCCCTTCATGTCGTCCATCTCAGCTCGGAGCCCCCTGTTCTCCACCTCCAGCTCCACGATGCGTCGACTCAGCAGGTTGGCCTCCTCCTCCACCAGCTTCAGGTGGACTCTGATCTCCGCCTCACGGGTGTGGGGGGAGTCAGCAACCTGGCAAAAGGAAAGGAGAACAACTTCCTTACTCACCTGTTCATTCACACTCATTTAGTTTAAGTGCTTCAATTGTAATGAATGATCATATTTTAGAAAAATACGTGACTCCATTCTGTTTGTTAATGTTTACTTTTCCGTATTAGAAACGGCTCAAAAGTGAGTTTGATTTAATGAGCTTTGTGGAGTGTTTTGGCTGTAGAGTTTTCCCAGATGTTTTTGGCCAATGGGGAAAAAGGACCATTTGGGTTTTATATGGGTACAAAGGGAGGGGATACTTCACAAACCATGACCACCATAACAGCCAAGAGGCACTGTTTTGCAGCTCTCAGGCAAACATTAAGAGATGCAGAGCTAAATGCTGAGAAAAGATGGAAAATGATGAAATTAAAACCCTTATCCATCACCCTCCTCCATTCTCTACACAGTGAACTCTATTTGACCAGCTCCTGTTTCATGGCCTTGTTCAGTAAACACTAATTTGCCCATTAATCACTATTTGACAATGTCAAAGTAAAATCGGACAAACTTTTTGCTTCTGCATGAAACGGTTCTAAAGCTAAAATCTAAGCACTTCAGTCTTCCTCATCCTCACCTCCTCCACGGTTAGCGAGGCGTTGACGTCTCCGTACAGCGACCTGTACTTGGCCAGCTCCTCCTTCATGGCCTCACTGTCCTTCACCAGCTTGGTCAGCTTCTTGCACATCAGGGCTGATTCCTCTTTGGCAAAGTGGAGCTGACACTTCAGGTCTGAACTGTCCTCCTGCAGTGACGGGGCAGAAAGAGAAGAGAGCAATGATGTGACACTGATACAAAAAAAACTGCTGTATCACAGTGAGGCTGACATACAGACAGATCTGTTATCATGCAAAGTTTTGTTGCCATTTTAGGCCCCTAACTAGATTAAATGATGAGTCACAAAAATTGGCTTTAATAATTTATCTTTTAAGGTAATTCAGTAAATGCAAAAGCCAAACATTTGTAAGTTCCAGCTTCTGTCAATTGCAATAGTTGAGCAATGAATCCTTGCTTGGATTTTTAAAAACTAACATTAACAAGTGAAAGAAAATGAATGATTAAACAATATCCCTTTTGTGCAATTGGCTATAATTCAGAGTGAAAGAAGGATGGAAAATGATCAGAGACAAAGACGCACATGACTCTCCCCTCAACTTGGATGGAGAGTAGATATGATGTGCCAAATCTGAACTGTCATCTTACAGTTAAGACAAGAGACACACAAGGAAGAGAGGACACTTCAATCAGTCTACCCTGAGAAAGAGGTTATATATAGATGGACAGGGAACCTGACAAGCACAGACAGTAAAAGCTGCAGACAGATGGATAAATGAACGGGAACAGCGCCGACACACATTCAAACACACACAACAAGCTGACCAGTCAGATCACTTCATGCAGGAGTGAGCTGCTCGACTTGGAATCTGCAACCTTTAAGTCAATCCAGGCTGATGTTTGGGCATCATCTCTGGCAATTATAGGATGCACTGAAGTTTGCGCTTTCTGTCAGCTGAACACAAGCCACAGCCCATTATAGCACTGCAACTCAACTGGGATGAATCAGCTTTTCATTCTATTTAAAATCGCCTTCAACTTGAACGATAATGACAAAGAGCTATTTGACTAACTCGCGGCTTTCAGCTACCAAATGGTGAGGTGAGAGTCATGCTGCGTTTGTTCCTCACAAGGCTTTAGCAAAAAACGCAAAGAAAATAGAAACTCCAGAAAACACTCATTCTGCCTCAGATGTCATTGAGAATCTGAAATTAATATTTACTAACTCACTCAAGTCTAAAATAAAGAGCAAATTAGTTACACTACTTAGAGTAGTTGAAGCAGTATTATACTGTTGTACTTTAAATGTGCCATAAGCGAAATTAGGCTTTATAGCTTGACTATGACACAAATTATGTTAGTTACACAGCTAACCATAAG